TCTATTTATGCTCTAACAAATAGCTTCCCTTTAAAAATTGTGCTTCAGATGGCCAGGCCCTGAAAATGTCTCTCCTGGATGCAAATTCCTAAGACTGGTCTTCTGAAATTGTGACTAGTTAACTCTCAGTGGATGATTTTTAATTTGTTTGTTTGTATCCTGCCTTTATTATTTTTACAAATAACCCAAGGCTGCAAATATATCTGACATACCTTCCTCCTCCTATTTTCCCCACAACAACAACCCTGTGAGTTGGGTTGGGCTGAGAAAGAAGGACTGGCCCAAAATCACCCAGCTGGCTTTCATGGCAAAAGGCAGGACTTGAACTCACAGTTTCCTGCTTTCTAGTCTGGTGCTTAGTGCCAGACCAAAGTGGCTTTAGGGATGCAGTGGCTCAGTGGCTAAGACACTGAGCCTGCCAATCAGAAAGATTGGCAGTTCGAATCCCTAGCACCGCGTAACGGAGTGAGCTCCCGTTACTTGTCCCAGCTTCTGCCAACCTAGCAGTTGGAAAGCATGTAAAAAAAATGCAAGTAGAAAAATAGGGACCACCTTTGGTAGGAAGGGAACCGCGTTCCGTGCGCCTTTGGCATTTAGTCATGCCGGCCACATGACCACAGAGACTTCTTCGGACAGCGTTGGTTCTTCGGCTTTGTAACGGAGATGAGCACACTGCCCCCTAGAGCCGGAAACGACTAGCGTGTATGTGTGAGGGGAACCTCTACTTTATATTGGTGTTATAATATATAAATGTATAGAATCCATTTTCTCTCCAGCTAGCTTTGTGACATGCTTCAAAAATCAGAAACTCCTGTGGAAAAGCTTTCCTCCCAACGTCTGTATCATCCTGACCCAGTTGTGCTTTTGTAAAGCTGTAATAACTGAGTTTGCAGCAAGATTGGAATAAAATAAAATGATAGTAACTTTTTGGTCTTTGATTATTTATTTAGGGTTCCATTTTTCCTCTCTGATATTCTGTATAGAGGCATTTCTCGTTGTATTATGTTTATACTGTTCTTTTAACCTGAAAATATAAGCCATTCTTGACTGAGGTTGCATGCAAATTACCATCCAATATATTACAACTTACTAACTCTTTGTGGTTGTGCAGAGAATGGAGAGCTACAGGAACAGGCTAATATGTAAACAAAAAGCAGCTTTAATCTGATCTACCATAGCACTATTCTTAAGAGGTTGAACAATTTGTAAGCAATATCATAGATAGATAGATAGATAGATAGATAGATAGATAGACAGACAGACAGACAGACAGACAGACAGACAGACAGACAGACAAAGGGGTGATAGACAGACAGACAGAATACTTTAAAAAGTGTTTTGTGTACAGAACAATAATATTTCTCTGGCTCAGGGGGCATTTTCCTCCTGATGAAATGTACTATATTAGTTTCACATACGGTACTATCATAACTTTGAGCACAATCCAAAGATGATTTTCTTGGAATAATTCCAGTTCGTTTCAACTGCGCATAACATTACCGTGAGTGTTCTTATTATCTGAAGCTTTGGGTGCTGTGTCTCTTAAGCTGCGGTTTCCAATGGGTGGGTATTTGACTGGGAACGTATGTGAAAAATTATATACACCCCAGAATACAGGCTGAACGTGAAGTATCTTCCTCCCTACCTCTCTCGCCCATGCTATTCCGAACTGCCATGTTTTTTTTTTTAATCCAAGGAATCAATGTCTTCCCCACCACCGAGCCCTAATCACAGTTTGAAACATCAGAAATAATGATTGCTTCTGATCAGAAGCTTGTGAATAATTCATGGAGTTTTGATTCCACCCCCCGACCCCCAATGCTGGCCACTGATACCTTACAGGCCAAATGGATTTCTACAGGAAAATAATAAATAATGACCCTTCTTCTTCTGAAAATACAATGGCCCACATCCTCATTTCACCAACCTACACAGAAAGAAGAAAAAAACAAACATTTCACTTCTTTAGAAGCAACATTTCCTCTCCCCCCCCCCCCCCACCCCCCCCATTTTGCGGTGTTAATGATAGGCATACCATCAAAGAATTATTTGGGGGAATAGGTTTTTTTCCCCCCAATAAAGGAGAATATTTGCAGCTCAGGGTTGAAATAAGGGGTCCTTGGTGTCTCTGAGCTCAATGGTTTTCCTGCAGACGTTTCATTACCCAAACTAGGTAACATCATCAGCGCTAATGCATCCCGACTCTCTTCTAGAACTGATGATGTTACCTAGTTAGGTAATGAAACGTCTGCAAGAAAACAACCAAGCTTAGAGAGCCCCAAGGACCCTTTATAGTTTTTGTCTCTTTTTTTTCTGTCTGGATAAAGATATCACAGTAGTCAAAGGGCTAGTTAATTCCTAGGAAACCTGGCACAGCATGGCGTTGGGATAACATCAATTAACCAGTGATCCTATCCCGTCCTGTTAGGTCATCTAGAGAAAGTCTGTTGTGAGATCTACCACTGTGCAAATTGAAAGGGTATGGAGAAGATGATGTGGCCTCTGGAGATATCCTCTCAGTATTCCTAAGATGGCAATTTCCATTTCCATTTTAGGAATACTGTGATATGGAGAGCTCAGGAGTATTATCACGCATTCTTTTTATGTCTACACTGCACTGTTGCACACCAGCTGGAGATGGGATGGAGTTGTATAAAAAGTTTGCAACGAGATCTGTCTTTGGAGATTCTCAATCACCCAAGTCATGGTTGTCCCAAAGGTGCTTTGGATTTTCTTGGTTTTTTTTTTTTCCTTGAGAACGTTTCATTTCTCATCCACTGAAGAAGCTTCTTGGATGAGAAGTGAAATGTCTTCAAGGAAAAACAAAGAAAGTCCAGCTGCCTCTTGAAAAAGCATCTTTGAGACAACCGTGATCTGGATCAGCAGTCGCCAGTCGTGGCCCACTGGTGGACTGCGAGAAAATTTTAGTGGCCGCAGAGAAATCTCACCCCCAGAGCACCCTCCCCCAAAGCAATTAATCCAGGCTGCACAGAAACACAAGGCTGTGCCACCCACATGGCCTGCAGGAACCCTCCCTGCCCACTCACTACTTACCCGACAAACTTGCCAGCTAAATTGCTGTTTTTCCTTTTTTTCCTTTTTCTGACCATCAGCTGTTCTGCTGTGCCGGGAGATTTAGATTAGCTAGGAAGCAGGAAATGGTTGGATTTTTTTGCTTTCCAGCTAGTCTTTAGATCATCTTTTAGGACTGAAGGTTCTATTATTCAGTGCAGATTCACGGCAAGCAAATTTTATGTGACAGACTCAAGTAGACGATGGCAGATAGATAGATCACTGAATGATTCTGTGAGCAACTCAATCTGTCTGCCTGCTTTGCCTGATTTTGGGTAAAAGTTGCTCTTTTTTTAATAAAAAATTCAATATTTATATAAATATTTATAATATTTACATACAAGCCCTGCCCAGCCAGTCACATGACCACCAAGCCACACCCACAAATTAGGCCACACCCACAGAACTGATTAGTGGTCCCTGGGATTTAAAATTATGAGTTTGGTGGTCCCTGAGGTCCAAAAGGTTGACGACCCCTGATCTGGATGACTGAGAATCTCCATAGACATAGAACACCATCGGCATTGACAGAATCTCCATCAGTCAATTGCAAAAGACAACTTTACATGGAACAGCTTACATCCTACAATGGCAGCTTTAACACCATCAAACATCAACACTTGCCTATCCCAGATTCTTGGGAAAGGACTCAGCAGGTGGATAAAAAATGAAAAGCCAGTCTAAAGATCTGGCTGTTTGTGCAACAAACCATTTAATATATTTATATTATATAATTTATACTTCGTATTTCTTATCCATCCGTCTCCCTCCAAGCAATGTTAATATTGTATAATATTGCATGGAGCAGTCAGTCAGTAATGATCATTAAACATAGCCAAAGATGATCACGTATCCCTATTTCATATCATTGTAACCTAAGATTTCATTCTCAAAATTAGAGAATGATAGAAGTAGATTTTGGGATATTGCTTTTGGCAACATGTTTGCATCTCAAAATAGAGCAATCATGGAAGCAAATCCCATTGAGTCTATTGAAACTTAATTCCTAGAAGGAGGTGAAATAATTTTAACTTTGCTTTATGCTATAGTGCACAATTTTTAAATGCATACAATCAACCTTCATTCTTAGTTTTGTCTACTCAAATCTCTCTGTACTAACACAAACTACTGTTATGTAGCTTGAACCCTCTAGTGTTGATGAATCTTTGAGTTGAACCCACATTTGACAATGTCTGGGGTTGAATGCCATCAGGATCAGACCTTAGTTAGTACTTGGATGGGAGAGGAAATTTAAGTATTGTAGACTAAATTGGATAGTTGTTAAAAAAACAACAACCCAAACAAGACAATGACATAGCATGTCAATATCGTTGCCAGGAAATCTCCATAGATGTGTCATGAAGTCACCCGGAGTTCAGCTTCACTTGATTTTTTTTTATTTAATGTAACCTGATTGTACTTAGATGCTTTGTTCTGTCCTCTTTGAATCCAAGCTTATATACTGTACCTTGACCTTGCTTACTAATATGCTTATAAAATGGACACAATTCAGATGCCGTTCTAAAAACTTCCGCTTCCCAAAATGGGGTCTCTTTGTCTCGGTGCAGCATGCAGACTGGGGAATTCTCATCTTAAATCATGCTGGCCTGGAATTTGGGGAGTTGAAGTCCACCCATCTAAAAGCATATTGTGGAATTCTGGGACTTGAAGTCCACCCATTTTAAAGCATGCTAGCTGTGGAATCCTGGGAATGGGAGTCCACCCATCTTAAAGCATGCTAGCTATGGAATTCTGGGAGTTGAAGTCCAACCCCTCATAAAGCATGCTGATTGGGTAATTCTGGGGGATTCAAGGCACGCTGGCCTGGAATTGAAGTCCACCCAACTTAAAGATGCCAAGTTTGAAAAACAGCGTTCTAATCCTAGCAAAAATCAACGATGTAACATCAACAATTCTTGTTCTTGCAGATTGGAATGGTGGCTTGGCGCATGACTCTCAGGACCCCTGAGTATCCAGATGGCCGAGACGTCGTCGTCATTAGCAATGACATCACGTATAAGATCGGATCCTTCGGTCCCCAAGAAGACTTGCTTTTTCTCAGAGCATCAGAGCTGGCTCGGGTAGAGGGTATCCCTCGGGTTTATGTCGCTGCCAACAGCGGGGCCAGGATTGGCTTGGCTGAAGAAATTCGTCACATGTTCCACGTTGCATGGGAAGATCCAGCCAACCCCTATAAGGTAAGGATCTTTGGAAGCATGGTATGCAGGGGTGGGCTGCTGGGGGCTCTCAAGGGTTCGGGAGAGCCCCTAGGTAAGATTATGTACAGTTTGGAGATTCCCCAAATCCTACTGCTGGCTGGCTCCGCCCACCCCACCCCAACCCCTCCCAGGTGTCCCCACACAGCCCGTTTTGGATGCCAGTAAGTGCAGGGCACACGCGAAGGCTCGGGGAAGGTGAAAATCGGGCCTCCTGGAAGTTTGGAAAGGCCAGAAATGTTTCTGGCTTCCAGAGAGCCTCCGGAGCCTGGGGAAGCCATTTCACCCCCCGCTGTGGTGCAGGAGGCCAACTAGGCCACGCCCACCATGATCACACTTACTCAGCAACCGGGAAGAGAACTCCTTGCTAAAAATTTTGAAGGCCACCCCTGATGGTATGACGTGGAGTTGGGATAAGTTTTCAGAGGGGAAATGTAATTTAAATTAAAATGTATCTCTCTCACTCTCTTGGGTGTGTGCATGCATGTAAATGCACAAAAGACAACTTGTTACTTTCAAGAACTGCAGCCAATGAATCCGCAAAACGTAGTCTCAGCAGAATTAGTACAGGTAGACCTTGACTTAGAAACATTCATTTACTGCAGGGTGTCAAACTCAGTTTCATTGAGGGCCGCTCGAGGAGCTGGTTAGGCATGGCAGACTGGGTGGGTGTGGCCAACTTAGTGGGTGTGCCCAGCTTAACGCCGCTCCCCAAACTGCTGGCATGTTTCCTCTTCACACTGAGTAGGCCGGGCCGGAGCCACGCTAGCCTGATAATTCCCTCTTCTCATTGGGTAGACCAGGATGGCCACGTGGGAGGGATCCGACCACATCGCAGGCCGAATCCAGCCTGCAGGCCTTGGGTTTGACACCCCTGATTTAGTGACAGTTTGAAGGTTCAGTGGAACTGGAGAGAAAAAATGACTTGTGATCATTTTTCAGACATACAACCATTGCAGCACCCCCTTGATCACCTAATTAAAATTGGGGCACTTGGCAACTGGCCTGTATTTATGACAGTTGCAGTGTCCCTGGATCATGTGGTCACCTTTTGCGATCTTCTAACGAGGAAAATCAGTGGGGAAGCCAGATTCATTAACAACCCTGTTTCTAATTTAACCACTGCAATGATTCCCTTAACTGTCAGGGCTCTGGCATCCACCCCCATTCAAATCATGAGTCTCTAGCCACAACTCTCAGAGTTTAAAAAAAAGATTTATTAGGAGTGAACATGTCAGCGTTACCTGGATGCAGCCGACACTGAGATGCATCATTCATCTCACCCTTGACCCTGGTCTTCCCCCACCCCCTGGATGTATATTCTCCAGTGGGACACATCCATAGCCAAGAGTCATCAGTCATGTTCTCCAGTAATAATCTTGCGCGCCAGAAGCTTCGGCCACCTAGCAATTATCTATGAAGCATTTAAGGAATGCACTACTTCCCCACTCCCTTTCTGCTGTCAACTCTAAAAGACCAGATAAATCTTTTTGAGTTGACAGTTACAATGAGAACTAGAAACCTGATTTGTTTTTAATGCACAACTGAAATCACTGTCATTCAGTTAATCTCATGAATCTTAAAAGTCTCTTTAATGTCATTTGCAGCCACAAATCATGGATAGTTATTTTAACAAATGTGTGTGTGTGTGGGAGGGGGGGGGATTGCCAGATGTTATTATTTGGATGTGCAGTACAGATTTGGGATAAGAATAGCAGAACTTCCCTTATGCTATTTTATTTCTTTTCTTCACCCCCTTCCCTTTTCCAGGGATTCAAGTATCTGTACCTAACTCCTCAAGATTATAAGAAAGTCAGTGCCTTGAATTCAGTACATTGTGAACATGTGGAAGACGAAGGAGAATCAAGGTACGTACGTTTATGGTCCTCGAGAGAAGAGCGAAAAGTCCCATAATCAGAGGTATTCAGTTCAAAAGATGCAGCCTTGCTGTCCTCCTCCAATTCAGGACTCTCCAGCAGATGTCCATTTTGGTAGGAATGGCAAAATCCCAATCCCAAAGAGTAAGAGTGGCGGTGACTACAACACACACACAAACACACACACACACACACACATTGTAGAGCAGTGTTTTGCAAACTTGGCAACTTGAAGATATGTGGACTTGGAGAGCAGTGGTGGCTAACCTTCTTCGGCTCCCTTGCCGATAATTGCACACGCATGTGCTAGCACCCAGAAGGCAATGCACACTGCCCCACCCCCACCCCCTGCGCATGCACGCACAACTTCCCCCTCTTGCGCGGCATGTCTGTGCGTGCATGCGCGATCCCCTCACATGCAGTGCGTCTCCCGCGCACCCTCTCTCCACCCCCTGCACATGCATGCCAGATAACCGACAATCAGCTGTCGGGTGGTAGCACATGTATGCGCAGTGGGGCTCTTCCCGGCGACCTCTCGCGTGCCGGGGGAAATGGCTCTGCGTGCCACCTTTGGCACGCATGGCATAGGTTCGCCAACGCAGCCCTAGAGACAAAGGTAGAGAAAGTTGATGAACATTAAATTTTAGAACGAACGTAACATTTTAGGCTGACCATATTTTTTTTTACTGTAATCTTCTAAGAAGAGAATATATTATCGGAAGAAAAATAACTGCAGTGGCAAAAGAATAAGTCAGTGATAAGTCAAATGTTTACCTACTTAAACAGGTAAACAGAATGTGCAAGCGAAAAATCAGCAGGAGCAACTTCCGACTTCCTGCAGGCTTCCCCATCGACTTTGCTTGTGGGAAGCTGTAGGAAACATCAGAACATCATGATCACATGACTATGGGCTGCCATGGCCACAGTTTTGTGAATAAAACTGGTGTGAATATCATGGAAATATCAATTCCACAAGTGTCCCAGAACTTTTTTTTTTATGCATTCTTAATGCGAGTGGTTCAAAAATTGTGCACTATTTGGGCTAACCTCAACATAAGACCCACAAACAGGGAGGGAGGGAGAAAGGAAAGAGAGAGAGGGAGAAGAGAGAGAGAGAGATTATGTTTTTGGATTGTGTTAAGTTTGTTTCGATTTGTTTTTGCGTTGGTCTTCGGCTATAATGAATGTTATTTATGTATTAAATATCAATAGCAATCCAACAAGGAGGATGTGAGTTGTGTAGGTGTAGATCCAGAGGATGCTACATAGTAATCCAGCTAGGAACTACTAGTATCTTCTTAGTGCCAAATATAAATTTGTGGGGTGGGTGCAGGGAGGGGTGTTTCCTCTATTGCTCCCTGATCTTTCCTTCCTCCCCGTGTCAGGTATAAAATTACAGATATTATTGGGAAAGAAGATGGCCTGGGGACCGAGAACCTGCGCGGATCTGGCATGATTGCTGGAGAATCCTCCCTTGCTTATGAAGAGATCATCACCATCAACCTGGTAAATCCACAATTGTGAGATGGGATGGTGAAGTTGGGAGGGGAGAAGACTGGGAAGATGAGGCATTCGTTGGCCTCCTAGATTCAAGCAGCTGTAACCAGCAGGGCTTCAAGTGTGTTGGCCCCACACCAGCCGATGTGCTTACTTGTGCAACTTTTGGTAGATCTCCAATGTGCCAGGTGAAAAACCGTGGAAGCCTTGGCAGAACCCTTCTTTCCATCTATGCCCTGGCTCAGTGGTGGGATTTGAAATTTTTTTTTTACTGCCAGTTCTGTGGGCGTGGCTTGGCCTGGAGGGCGTGGCAGGGGAAGGATACTGCAAAATCCCATTTCCCTCCCCACCCCACTGACCTGCTTTCCAGCTCCGTTCTCCTGTGCAGGGCAGCACAAGAAGACCCAGCCAATCAGCTGGGACTCGGGAGGCAGATGGGGGCGGGGCCAGTCAGAGGTGGTATTTGCTGGTTCTCCGAACTACTCAAAATTTCCGCTGCCGGTTCTCCAGAACTGGTCAGAACCGGCTGAGTACCCCCTCTGCCCTGGCTGCTCATTGCCCCTTTCTCGTGTGGGTCTCGCTTAAGGAAGAGAGGGAACCATGGAAGAGGCTAAGAAGGTCTTGGCAGGATTTTTGCGATGTGGACTAGATGCGGTGACATCAGAGAGGGCTGTTTTGATTCAGTTTTGGGGAGATGGTGCAACGGGGGCTCCCTTTGCATGACGCACCCAGCCAGATCATTGGAAGACCCTGAGTCTTGTTTAGGTTGGAATAAGTTTGGCATGGCTTGGTATTCAGAGTTTATTGACAAGTCCTTTATTGGGACAACTATTACCCCTCCCCATCCCGTTATGGGAAGTAAATTGGGGATTATTTATCATTAGTCTCCCTCCCTCCCTTCCTTCCT